TCGTAATCGTAATCATAATCATAATCGTAATCATAATCGTAATCATAATCATAATCATAATCGTAATCATAATCATAATCATAATCGTAATCATAATCATAATCGTAATCGTAATCATAATCATAATAGTAAAAATTAACAGACAACTTACCAGGAGGTATAGGAGTAGGTTGCACTCCAGCGGACCAAGGAGCCGGCCATTTCGACAAAGTACATATCCCGTTTTTCCCTTGTTTGTCGGGGTACAAGAAATCACAGTCCGTCACAGGAATATTGTATTGCTGAAATGAACTTTTGCACGAGTTGTTGATTTCTACGCAAGTAGATTTACAAGGAATCTGGACCAGGCCTTCAGAACAGGGTGGAAAACGGGTAAAGCAAGTAAACTTTTCAATGTTTAGCGAGCATTTTGTAGCAATAACTGATTGGAGAAGATGAACGTTTGATTTGTTTTGCGTTTCGGTGGCGACAAACGTTGTATTGTAGTGAAGATCGTCTTGACAGTTAGAAATACCAACTTTGTGACATTGAGTCTTGTTCATACCTAAACGTTAATCAATTCATTAACTGACTGACTCTATATTTACATTTTTCTGAGAAATTTCTTTATTTATTTCGAAATGTAGCCGAGCCTTTGCATTAAAGTGAGGTCGAGTTTGCACTGTGGTGAATACCTATTTTCTACAGAAACGAAATTTATGAACAGGTGTCAGTTATCATTGTAATTGTCATGTTGAGCTTACAATGCTCGGTTACCTTTCAAGATGGCGCTGGAAGCTGCAAAATGTTGGATAAACTGATTTCTCCGATAAAACTCATTGATTGAGGAAAATGGTTTTAAAAACACTTTAAAAAGTGTTGATATCGTAATCTGATCGGAAGGCTGTCGGAAAGTTTTCCCGGGTCTAGGGGGTCAGCGTTTCTAATTGACCTATACATCACTGTAACTTGCTACAGCCTTGCTGCATATATTATCCGAGCACGAACAGGCAACAGTCACGAAACCTTATACTAAAGCAGTGTTGAAAAAAAAGAAACTACGGGAAGTGTTACGTAAGATTTATCATCGTAGCTACTGCATTGAAGTGCTGCAATTTTTTTTTAATCATAAAAACTATTTTTAAGCATTCGGAAAAAAAATCTGCCTGGGGCCTTCATTGTGACGTTATATAACGACTACTCACAGTATTGCTTTTAAGCAAATTCTTTATATGATGTGCGATACACTGAATAAAATGTTTATCTGTTTACACAGTGTCGTCAACAATTCCATTCTTACTTTATCCCAAAGTATTAAAAATAAATGTTGTTGTAAGCTTTAATGTTGCATGACAATATTTTGGTGACCCCGCGGTCCGTTCCAATCTCACACGAATCCACGTTTAATATTGACAGTTGTTTGTCACCTCGCGTACACCAAATTTCTGTACTTTTTTCCATTCGGAGAATTCATATGCCGTGTGATCCCTACTCGATATTTTCAATTTATATTCTGACGAAATTTATTTGTTTCTTTTTAGTTTTTTTTTTACGTATGTTAATTTGATGATAGTATGTGATGAAATATATATATTTTTTATTAATTCCACATATAACGTTATTTGTGACAATGAAAAGGGATCAAATACTGTTCCAAAAGAGTTTTGTTTTGATAGTTTCAGTTCGTATTAAATATTCAACCCATAACAATTAGTGCACAAAACACGACAACAACTTTCTTCTTTAGTCACATATATTAAAATTATTTCGTATCGTTTATCGACCAAAAACCGTGTGTTTTATAGGTAATGCTGTAAATAATTCTAACGTGCGACAATGGAATTTATCGTGAAATGCCATCACTTTTAATGATATGCATGCACACGTTTAATCAATCCATGTACATGAACTCACCGCTATGAGCTTGATTGACTCTGAATCCTTCAGGTACAAAACATGTATCAGGATTATTGCTATCATATATCGGCAATAGATCACACATTGCAGAAAGCATCCCTTGCATTGCCACAAGATGTAACTCTTTGCTGCATTTATGAACGAAATCGTTGCACACGCTTCGACATGGCAGGACAGGTCTCGATAGATGTTCTACGCACTTTGGAAAGTACAGCGAACATAGAACAGCAGCGCTGGACGTTTTAGCGCACGAACTTAGCCCACCAAGGTAGATATTTAGTTCCTTTCCTTTGACTTCTTGGTAAGGTTTGCCTTGAATATCAGGAAATGGTGCTGTGTTAGGATATCCAGCATTCTTACATTGGAGGTGAGTAATCTTTGTACATTTCTGTACTGGCAAAGGTGGACTTCTTCCATCAGACAGATGGATGAAAAGAATTGCTAGACACCATATTGAAACTTTCATCTTTTTCTTGCTCTGTCTTAAAGATAGCTGATTGTCTTTGTCACCTTTCAATAAACATCGTCACGCGAAAATTTCTTTTGCTGTCACGCTGTTCAAGAGGAACGAAGGCTCGGCATGTCGGATATTTGTTCTTTGTTTTTTTTTTGTTTTGTTTTGCTTTGAAAGTATGAGAAAGAAACAAAACAACCTCCAGTTGGTGAAGATTGACTTCGGTCGGTGGGCAATTGATACAGCTGCAGTTCTGTATGTTATTAAGATTCGGCATTTTTCGGGAATATCGAAACTTTCCATATCCTAATTACACGGGATTACACGAACTAAAATGTCAGTTTGTGATTTTGAAAATTAATAAACCCTAGATATATCCCATTTCTGATGCTCTGTATTCTAATTTTTTCTTTTCAACCAATATTTTGCCCTCTTTTTTGGATTTCGATAAATCCTGTTATCTTCTCAATCCTTATATACTGTTCGCACTATCAGTTTTGTCCAGTGAGCTTGACAATCCCAGATATTCACATCCTGGTCACCAGTGCCCCACTCAAGTTGCTCCACTAGTTCAGACCTCAATTCAGACTGAACAACAACTCGATAAAATGGCTGAGCGTTTTGACTTATTTTGTCACGCTATAGTGACGATAGTTAACTCTCACGAGTTAACTTCTAAGGTTTACAATCATTTACGAGAGAAATTGGGCGAATTTTTTCAAAAAATCGAAAGCCTGACAGACGAAGTTTCAATTCAGCAATCGGGAAGCTCGTACGATAAACTTCACATGACATGGTTGCTTAAGGATGAATCTGGCGAACTGATTTTCGTACCAGCTACTGATTTTGACTTTAACATCGTCTTAAAAAGGCTGCTGATAGCTGTGGAAGACGAAGTTGAAAATTGTGGGACGGATATTGACCGACCTTCGACTGCTTACTTCGGTGTATTGCATCCTTCTCAGAATCCAGGATATGTTAAGATCCGAGTTACCCAGCAAGGAAGACAATACCTCAAAGATAAACACTGTGATTATTTATTTGAAGACATTGACTCCGAGGGTTTTATCAACAACTTCTCACTAAAAAGAGGAGTTTTAGAGGGACTGGCCGGACGTTATACTGTATCTGGTCCAGCGTTGTCAGATTTCTTCTCTGCAGTTAAACAGGGAGTCAGCCACGACTTCGTCTATGCATTACCAGTGGATGGTTGGCCAGCGGATGCAGCCGAGTGGATATCAAGAGATAGACCTAATGCTTGGCCTAGCGAAGATTTAGTAGCTAGAATTATAGCAGGTATTTCAAACACCTATATTTATTACAAAGTGTTACAAAGTGAATTGTTTCAACGCCATTGAAGTTTGTGTTTATAATCATTCTGCTTCGATGGGTCAACTTTTTAATTTCAATTTTAGTGAAAATTCACTTTTCAGTAAAGGTCACGGAACATCGCTGCCTTAGTTTTCGGTTTCGTATCTGTATATATCTGTATATATGTCCAGGTAATTCTCTTAACTGCTGCTGTGCGTTTTTAACAATGCCAGAGGTAGTTATCAGTATCAGTAGACTGTGCAAGCCGGAAGTAAGATGGCATGCAACATGTACTAGTCGGATGAGCTCGAAGATCCTACGGAATCTACGGAACACTGGTCTTCGGCGTTGTTGCTTTTTTGGCTTAAAAACAAAAGTTTTCTTTTCGCTCTCGCGCCGTAAAACAACATTCATTCTAGATAATTTCATCGAATAGGCATTATACTATTGCGAATGCTGAAGACTAGTTCCTAGAATTCGGAACATCCACGGTGATGCGCATGCGCGTTTTCACTTGACGATCACATAAGTTGAGAGAGGAAAACATGTTTATCTTAAGTTTTTGACTTTGGGAGTATTTAGGCAAACCCGRCCCTTCAACCCCCATTGAGAGTCGGGAAATCAAACACATTATAGCCCGGGGATTTACTGACACCTTTTTTAAAGCACAATCAACGGGAAGGCGGGGGAATCGACGTCTAAATCAAAGGAAGGGCAAGGAAATGGCGGGACTTTAAAATAATTGAAATGTTTCTGTCCTACTTGCTTAACGTCCAGCTATGTTTGTGTTTTGTCCAGATAAATGCATGGTTGTCCCAGTAGGACATTACACAAGTGACCAATCTGCTCTTGAATGGCGTATTTCATTCAACCACAGTGAGCGTCTTCTTTCCACTTCTCTCAATCACGTTCAACGTCACTGTTATTGCTTGACCAAGCTGCTCTTGAAGACAAGTATGATGGATTCGTATAAATATCTTACTATTGCAGTATTTGTGTCATGCTTTGAACCAATTGTAATCTCAATACTTATTGATAATGTAACTGATTCATAAGGCTGTTAATATGCGATATATGGTCTGCATTGATAGGTGATGTGTTCTGGAGGAAGGTTCCAGAAACTTTCTAAATAACGACTTATCTTGCAGGTCTACCTGAAAGCTGCATTCTGTCATCTTACCATATGAAAAATATCTTTTTCTACATGGTGGAGAGCCAAACTCAGCTGATCTGGGAAAATCAGAAAATAGGATATCTCCTGATAGAGGTTCTTAAGGAGATAGTCCGAGGTTTGGCCAACCACAACATTCCAAATTATTTCATCCGAAGCAACAACATGATTAGGCACAGAACAAAGGAGGAAGTGAAATCCACTCTCAAAGAGGTCTCCAAACTCATTGAGAATCCTCTCTCAGCATTGGCAGCTTTGTTGCAGAAGCTTCAGATGTATGATCAAAAAAGAGA